GTAGTTCATTTTAACTATTATTTTGGCGGGAGCAGTTTTTAATTTGTTTATTACTTCATGTATTTTTTTGGATTGATTATCTTTATTTGTTTTTTCTAACGGTTAATTATGAGGATTGAACACACAATTTGAATCATTACCACGAGAACAAGTACATATCTCCGTACCTGACAATGGCATAAACTGCATGAAACTCAGAGTCGTGCCATCGACGCTGAATATTATGTATATTCACTAATATATATATATATATATATATATATATATATATATATATATAATAGCAGCATGGCCCAGCGTTACCCGTGCTTGATTCAAAAATCGTACGACTCATACAGAAATCGCTATCACTTGACTTAACATATGTTTGCCCTTCCTTGCCTTTAAAGGAGTGCCCTTTGTCGTGCTGATGTTGCTACACGCCTTACTTCTTGCCTATCTCACTTTGCGAATTTTTTCTAAGCTCTAAACATTAAATCTGTTACGAAAAAAGAACTAAACAAAATGAACACAAAACGACCAGCTTTAAAAAAGGACTCGTAACTGGAAAAACCGAATGAAAAAAGAATGTTAACAACAAATACATTTTCACACGCAACCCAGTTCTGCGGAATCAGAATCAACGTTGAGTTTAAGCAAGCGAATGAGCCAATGTGAGTAAAGTGCCATGCAGATTTAAATTTTTCCCACTTGTGACGAATGCAGCTATCGATTTTTTGCATGCTAGCATGCTAGTTAACATTCGTGTCAGTCAGCTGTTGACTCTCATGCTGGGCAATAGAATCTTTCCGCCTATTCGTTGCAGCCTGCTATATGCTATCACTCTAGCCAGTAGTAAATGGCCGCAAACTACATGAAAACTGCCATAGAAGCATGAAAAAATCGATTATTTCCACTATCGATGGGAGTTGGGAAATGCAAATCGGTATTGGCCTTTCCGCTAATATCTCTCTCTCTCTCTCTCTCTCTCTATATATATATATATATATATATATATATATATATATATATATATAAATGTATAAAAAGGTATAAACACCCAAAAATGCTCAATATAAAATCCAAAATAGAAAATATACTAGATTTTTAATCCTTCTACTTCCTTGGCCAGGATTGCTTTTTCGTATATATATATATATATATATATATATATATATATATATATATATATATATATATATATTTATATGGTCCAATGTCCAATTTCAGACGGTCTATTTAAAGGTTTGATCAAAATGTGCAACAGCTTTTTTTCAAATTTGCAATAGAAAATAAAACATCGAGACCTTGTGTTTGATTTTAATAAAACTTATTTGAGTTCTTGTTGCCTCAATACACTTTTTGCTGAATGTTTATCGGAAATACTTATTGCGTAATACGCAATATTTTTTTCATACATAAACAACAGATGTGTGAATTGCACCAATACAGAAGGGATTTATAAAACTCTGTTGTAGAAAATAACTGCTTTTTTCATCATGAAGATAAGTCTTCATAGACTTATACATGTATATATATGTGTGTGTGTGTATGTGTTCCTATAAGTGCGTGTACGTTTGTGCATTCACATTTATATTACATACGCAATTTATAACACATATTTATATAATATAGAAAGGTATATATTTTATTAATGTATTATTTCTTTCTACTTTCATAGACATCATAGTGTCAAATTTAATATCTATCGTTAAAAATATTCTATTTCTGTCAACAGATATTTGTGACGGACAGAATCTTTCTTTTCTATATGTACGTAAATTCTACGAAATCTTTCTTTCTCGTATATGTACACACACACACACATATATATATATATATATATATATATATATATATATATATATATAGCTTCATGTACGAGATCTGATCAAATATTGTTGGGATTGGTGCTATAAAAAAAACTACAATACATATTAATTCAGTATCTAATCTGCTTCGAAATAGACCTTTCCTGAAGCCACAGACTTCATCCAGCGTTGTTTCCATTGATGGAAGCATTCCTGTAACATTTAGGGTGGGGTGCGCACCCATATGCCTTTTGCATTCCCTCGGCGTCATAAAATCTTGTCCCTTTCAACTCTGATGTAAGAAAATAGTCCAAAAGAGGCGAGATCTTGGTGAATATTTTGGTTGTCGGGTCTGGGGAATGTTGTTCTTGGTCCACAACCGCTTCACAAGCCATAGTCACTAATGGAATCTCTTTGGTGTGGTAAGCTGCCCACACTCTACACACGTTCCTACAAGCATTGTTAAAAACTACGAAAGTGCGTGGGAACTTTCTCAGACCTCGAATTTTTCATATATATATATATATATATATATATATATATATATATATATATATAATTTCCTATCATATATATATTTTTTCTGATATATATGGTTATACTAATATTAGTCGTGTCCTTATAAGGAAATATCCGGAATTCATACACCGAGGCGCCAGTGCTAGATGTGTGTGCAAATTTATAAAATCTTTTTCTTAAAACAAACTTTCAGAAACATACGATTTTGGAGTTCAAGTGTTAGGAATTCTCTTTTCAATTTTGATAGGGTTTACTTCTTTGCCTTTTGTTTGGGGTAAGGTAAAGCGTCATCTTCTTTAGATACGAGCAAAAAAAAAATTAACTCAGTAGAAAATGTTTTTTTCATTTCTGTATATTGTGTATGTCGTACCTATCTAGCCTCTATCCTTTTTCTCTGTCCTGATCAAACGCTGTTGGAATATTTATCGCTCAACACTGTGTGAACCTGAATTTACACAGAAAGCATACACTCATTCTTTCTATCATAAAGCTAAACTTTCATGGTCTGTTAAATTTACTAGATTGTGTCATTTGAAGTACACTAAAATGGCTTAGTTTTTGCATAGTTGTGGCAGTGTACATAGTGGACTAAAAGCAAAACGCAGGATTACAACATGAGGGAAACATTTGTAACTTGAATGGTCTATTTCACTTGACCTTGCAGTTATTTTGTTTCTGTCATCTGGTATAGTTCACTGTATGGGATTATGTAGCGCCAGTACATAAGTTTCGAAATACAATGGTTCTGATTAAAACCTACAGGTTTCCTAGCCTTAAACCCATTTTTTATCATCAATTTCAGAGTGTGGGTAGTATATGCATATATATAAAACATGATATATATATATATATATATATATATATATATATATATATATATATATATATATATATATATGAAAATTTCTCCGATTTAATCGGTAGAGAAGACAATATTTATGAATAAAAATGACAATGAGAAAATGTGGAATTTCGTATGGGACTTTATCAAAGTTTTTGTTTGATAAAGTCCACATTGGACAAAAAAACGCGTCAGCAATTACCAGTTTTCCTATTGTCATTTTTATTCATAAATATATATATATATATATATATATATATATATATATATATATATATATAAATGAAATGGACAAAGCCCGACAATTATTTTAAAACATTTTTATGTTTATACATTCTTTTTATAGATACAAATATTTAAGTAAATGCTCTGTTTATAATAAACTGTATTAAAAAATGTCTTAAAGTAATTGTCGGACATTGACAATTTCATAATGTGCGACATCATACATTTGGATACGCCAGGAGCAGATATAAATGTACGTGAGCAAATCATGGAAGACTGTAGTTTAAAGACAATAAAATCGACCTTGCTAACCGAACGCTCCTCTGTAGCCGAATCGGTTAAGGCACGTCAGGCTATATGACGGTTCCGTATATGAAACAGGCTCGATTCCTGTCGGGGAAGAATATTTTCTATGAATATTTCTCGGACATTCAGGCCGGTAAATGTTGTTTAATACCGTTTATTATAGACAGAGCATTTACTTAAATATTTGTATCTATAAAAAGAATATATAAACATAAAAATGTCGTAATATATATATATATATATATATATATATATATATATATATATATATATATATATATATATATATAACGACTGTAAAATACAAATAAAAAAAAATAAAACAAAACAAAAAAACGCAACTATCTGAGTTTCTTTTTACCAGGCTTTCAGATCTTGATATTATTTGTCGTAAGAATCATTGAAAAATCCTTTGAGATAATCACATAGAAAGACAACAGGTTAAAATCGTTCGCTTTCAGCCCCACTATATTTCCCCAACTGAGCAATGGCGAGAGAAAAAAGTAACTTCAGTAATGGCACCAACATTCATACGCTGATTTCCATCTTCAAATTCCATTCAAGCACCATCAAGAGAACGATGAATAAGTTTAAAAAAGAGGCAACAGTAGAGAAGAAAAATGGATCGGAAGGTCATAACAGAAAGAGGGATCATAATTTCACGATAAAGCTAAATACATTTTTATTGTTCAAACTAGAGTCCACTAGTGTTATAAAAATGTTTGGCGAATTCCACTAAGATATCTTTAATCATTTCTAAGATACAACGGTTCAAACGGTTATATATATATATATATATATATATATATATATATATATATATATATATATATATATATATATATATATAATTTCTATTATATAGAAGACGTTCAGACGTATCCAGAAAAATGTACACAGCTGTGTAATTCCGACTATTTGTTTTCGGTGAACTATTTTGACACCTGCGATGATTCGAAGTTAAAGCTCTCCCATGTGAGTCTGGAATTTCAGTTCGGTTTTTCCAAGTTGTTTTATATATATATATATATATATATATATATATATATGTGTGTGTGTGTGTGTGTGTGTGTGTGTGTGTGTGTGTGTGTGTGTGAGTTTTTCTTAACATATCTGCGTCCGCTTCAGCACTTTTATGTCTGTGTGTCTGTGTGTGTAGACGTGTAGTGCATCACTCTCTGTCGGAATGTATATGCCTCTTTCGATGTGTGTGTGTGTGTGGGGGGGGGTGAATGTGAGTACTTCTCTGCCGATATGTATATGCTTCTTTCTGTGTGTGTGTGTGTGTGTGTGTGATGTGTATGCGTCCCTCTGCCGGAATGTATATTCTCTCTCTCTCTCTCTCTCTCTGTGTATATGTGTGTGTGTGTGTGTGTGATTGCGCAGAACGAATGCATAGTTTGAGGCACCGTTTTAATCACAAAACGAAAAACAAAGACTCTCCAACGATCTGAACAAAACATTTCGAAAAGGCTGGCTGACTTCGAGGCAGGATCGCTTTTGATATTTACGAAAGTTATATCGGTGTGACACAAGGCCACGATAATGATGCGCCCTGGAATCCTTTTGTTTGAAAATATCCTTTCACCTATAATATACACGTGGAGTAATGTCATCATTAGAAAAAAAAATGATTTTAAAGTTGCGCTTCTGCTTTGAAGTACTTGACCGAAAGTGATATTTATTATATTTGCTTTCTATACAGTCATACGAAACATCCTAGTAACGGTATTTAATAACCTTTTTTCATGTGATCGAAATTTGTCTGAATTTATTTAAACACCGAATTATTTAATCGTAAATCGGCATTACAGTCTCGCATCAAATGTAAGTTCTAAAAAGAAAATGTTACACGTAAATTTTTTTTTATTGCATTTCAAAATCAGTGGCTTGTTTATGTGACTGAGTTAGAAATGCAATAAAGAAATTACCGTAATTCCCCATGTGTAATACGTATTTTTTTTTCTGATATATAATAAGCAAAATTTGGGGTGCGTATTATGCACAGCTACAAAAAATCTTTAAAAAACTGCTGTTTCATTTGTGAAAACATTCGTCAATTTGACACTAACATTCGGCGATTCCGACCCCGTAAGGATGTCAAATACAATCATATATGCCTAACAATACTTACAAATGTAAAATAGAACTAAATTAGAATAATATTATTCTATGCTTAAAACCATTTTTTAATAAGAGTAGGAATCGCCGGCCGTAATGAAATTGGATTGGTACAATTTATGGGGTCTGATTACTGATATGTCCTGGAAAGGGATATATTTGTTTGAAGTAGCAAAGTGGTTTTGGACTACTGTAACCGAGTAGGACAATCTAGCAGGTAACCGTAATGGACTGGTCCTCGTCGTAGTGGTAGGCAATAGGCGGAGGCATAGGCGAAGACTATAGGCGTCGTCCCCGTACCTCCACATCAGTCTGTATTTATGGCTGACACCAGCCAATCATATTACTGTGAGAGGGAACACAGGTGTATGCATATTCATTACATCAATTACCAAACAAGGGGAGCGTATTATGCGTGAGTAGGAGCATTTTCCCACACCTTCAGCACAATTTTAGGTTTGCGTATTATGGGCGCAGGCGTATTATACATGTGGAATTACGGTAAATGACCTAGAAGTAAGCAATAAGACTATAAACTCATAGATCGTTACGAATAATTAAGCAAAATTTATGGCTTTTACAAAACGGTCCTTGTAGGTGTCTGCCACAGAGCAATGATTTCATGAGCGTCTACGCAGACTGGTTCGCTAATGCAGAGTTTTGTGGACGTGCGGCGTAAAGAATGAAATCGGCGAGCCGAGTTCAAAGTTTGATGTTCTGAGATGTGCACTTCCGGAAAGCATTAATGTTCCTCCACACATAGGTTCAACAGAAAGAGAGATTGAACCTATGTAATCTTGGGCAGCAAACAATCTAAAACTACGCACTATACACGAACCCATCTCTGCTCTATTCAACTATTGGTTAAAAAGTAGGGTAAACTGAACTCTCTAGTCTTGGGTCACAGTCAGTCTAAGAGAATGTCTGTGGAGTAATGTCTTTTGGAAATGCACGAGTTATTCTAAACTCAGAGCAGATAGGGCTCTCAGCTGTCAAGAGCGGCCCAATCTCGATAGGGTCCAAAAGCCTCTCTCCGATGACGAATTATTTTCCACCCTACAACCAATTTCCGCACAGACGAAAAGTCGCAAGCCTCTCGCTGCTCTATCGATATTTTCCATGGAAAGTGTTCAGACGAATGACATTCCTTTGTTCTACCAGTTCTAATCTTCACGGCTAAGGTCCGCCATGTTACGCACCTTGTAGCGAACCAGCCTCATTCCCTTCGTATTCCATTGGGGTGATGTAAATTCCACACAAGCAGCTTCTTCCCACGAATCGCTACTTTGTGGAACCGACTCCCTAGAAGATGCTTCCCCAATCATTACTGTTTGAATCTGTTCAGATCTAGGGTTAACCGTTATCTTCCCCACATATCAGCATGAACTCTGCCTCTTATTCTGTAACACTCTATCTCGAGTGGCTCTCGTGCCTTGTACAAAGTGAACATCATTGTAAAAATAAACTATGCAAGATGAGATTTATTAACCATCGCATTATAGTAATCGCTTAGTTACTATTGCCATATATGAACAGCTGCCCAATCTTCTCACTAAAGTCCAAAAGCCTCTCCGCGTCCTTTTGGGTGACGAATTATTTTCCACCCTACAACGTCTTTTCTCACAGACGAATCGTCACAAGCCTCTCGTCGCTTTATCGCTATTTCCATGGAAAGTGTCCAGACGAACTACATTCCTTAGGTTCACCAGTTCTAACCTTCCCGAGTAAGACCAGCTACGGCACGCACATAGTAGCGGGATTCCATTAGCGAAATCTAAGTTCCACTCGGGAGGCTTCTTCCCACGAACTACTGCCTTGTGGAACTGACTCCCAAGAGGATGCTTCTCCGATTAGAACAATCTTGACCAGTTAAAGTCTAGGGTTAACCGTTATCTTCTCCACATATCTGAATAAACTGTACCTCTTACTCTGGCGTTGCACAAAAGAAGAAATATACAAAATAAGAGAAACTGCAGCAACAACTACAATGGATAGTAAAAGGAAGAGAAAATAATGGCAAGATGTTGATGTTCCCCACTGCTTCAAACAACAGGTTATCAAGGAAACCCCTATCAATACTGGAAAGATCGATAATAGGTACTGGACTTGAGAAACCTATTTTCCGGGGGAAAAAAAAAAACTTTTTTAATAGAATTATTTTTCCCCCTCTAGCTCGAGCGGCTCCCGAGCCTTGTACAGGGTGTATATCACTGTGTAAAAAAAAATGGATCGCAGACAGGGTAAGAGTAGATCTATGCCCGAATGTATTAGACTCTCTAACTTTGGGTTTCAGTCTGAATAGAAACAAGCAGGAATCCAATTCCATACTCCAGGTACTGATAAAACAATAAAGCAGACTGGACTTGCTAGCCTTGATTGACAACAAATTTAGGGGAAAGCTTACTTTGAACAGTGTAGAAAGCAATGGAGAACTACTTCACCGTCTTTCACTAAGAAACCATACTGTTAGAGATATCAAAGACAGGATGTCGCGGAGAGCCCTGAACGCCCACATGTTTAGTCGTAGTAGGCGAAGCTAAGATTATTTAATTCGTAGATTTGGAGTTGAAGTAGTTGCGCTTTCACTACCAGTTGAAAATTCATCTGGGATAGTATGCATTCTCCCCCTCCCCCTAATGCCCGTGGGGAAAGTACTAATCTATTAGAATATAAATATTTACTAAATGTTGTCTAGTCTGGCGTGGTAAATAGGACCCGTTACAACTTTGAATTATTGTTTTGCTGCAATGAATATCAATACACAGTTACAAATATAGACCATTTAATTAAGAATCGTAGTCGCTCGAATAAAAACGGAATATGGAACTTAATTATTTTCACTTGGCCCTACAGTATGTCCTTATTTATTTTTACGTATACATCGGCCGATTACAATTAGCACAAACAATAAATCTGATTGGTTAATAAATAGCAAATAATCTGATTGGCTAATAAATTATAAATCTAACTGATTGACCTGATGGTTTTACTATTGGTTTGTAAACCAATTATTATTGCTGACCGGGCGGTACACAATATCAGATCGATAATGGTTCTAGTATATCAGTCCATATGCATCAGTGGTCGTAAGCAGAGGACAACGATCTATGAAAGCATCGACTCAATCATCTCAACGATCCACTGGCTTCAACCTGACTCTGTTAATCTTTTCTTCTGATAAGGCAGCCCCCAGGGCCAGAACGCGAGTTCACATTGTGGCCAGAGGTTAAAATAATCAATCACAATAAATATATTTCATTTTTATGACGATAGAAGACGATTATATGTGGGTCATATGATTAGTGGCCTAAGGGAAAGTCTTTGTTGTTTTTATGAAGGGAAAACTGAGTACGGTGATGCGATGACTAACAGGCTAGTTTCGCAGATTCATTCTTACAGCAGTGATTTTGATTCTCACTAGGTGATTGTTACCCAGTAAGAGCTTTCCAAACTGCGGAGTCGAGCAACTAATTCGCCGTACTCTAAATTTTACGTTGAATTATTTTTTTTTTATATATACAGTCTGACATACAGACAAACCTCTCATTTACGGACAATCCTTTCCCATCTACGGACAATCGACTTTAACGAACCACCCATCCCCTCTCTTAGTCCGTTGATGAGAGATATGTCTGTACATAGGTTAGCTTAGTTAATTACTCTTAAATAGTTTTATGCATCTGTTATCAAGAAAAAAGGGGGTTGAAAAACTCTTCAGTATTGATTTTATACCTAAATTAGCCAATCTAAATAAAGAGTAACATTTCTGTTGTTATTTTTTGTTGTTACTGTTGCTGTTGTTGTTGCTGCTGTTGCTGTTGTTGTTGTTCGTCTTACATGTCTGTCAATGCTGTACGGCGGTAAATTACAACCGAAGTTGCTTCAGGCTATCAAAGAGTTGAAATTTCAGGAGAAGCTACACTTGTAAATTCAAAAACGACACTGATAACTTTTCGGAGTCTAGCATATTCATCAATATCTCTCTTAAAATATTGTTTCCCTTCGTCTTTCATCTTCCACGTCCTGAAAGAACTTGGACGATCATAGCTCTCCACGACTTCCTCTTTTTTTGATCTAAGTTCAGGATCCCTCTTTGTCCTTTCTTTGCTCTTAATTCACTCAAACTCAAAAGTGTCTTCTCGTTAGTTCCCTCTTTCTTCTCTTACTTTCAGTACGTCTTGGGAGTGTTAAAATTCCCAAGCCCACTTTCCTCATTGTATTCCAGAAATCT